CTAGGGCCCTGTCTCCTGGGGCATTGTGCCGCCATGTGCTCATAAGAGTCACATAAATGGCACGTCTTCCGCTGCCCCGCATAATGTACAAAAACCTGAGTTCTATAACCATGCAATGTGACGTATGATGGTATCGGCCTCCTCAGGGTCATTTTCAGTGTGAAGAACCCTTCCGGCAGCCCCTCGTAGGGGCTGTCCCTCCACATTCCCATGCTCGCCGAGTGTACAGTCCCATAACCACTGAACACATCCTGTAGGCTGTATGCTGTCGCTTCAAAAGGTACATTCCGTACCTTCACCCAAGTAAAATACTTAGAAACATCATGCAAGCATACTTCCACTGCCGAATTGGCGCTCATCCTCCTTTCTTGAAATTCGTCGACGATGCTGGAGTAGAAGTCGGCCCTCATGAACTTCACGAAGACCCTTGACATACCATTTAGCACCACACCGTACAACTCTTCATTGGGGATGCCATAAACGTCCCTGATAATGCTTGGCAGGAGAACGTTCATCGTGGCGCTGCTTAAAGATCCCCTGATCAGCTCGATGCAGACAGTATTCATGCGCCGGCTCATTCGGTCCGCCATCTTGGTGCCAATGCTATGTTTTCCTCACCAGGTGGCGTGCAAGAGAAACTGTAGAAGCGTCCTCTCTCCCCGCAGGTCGAGAGACGAATGTGGTGTTTAAGAAATTTGCGTAATATATCTGGTATCTTATTTTCATTAATAAGAAACCTTCACATGTCACATAGGTTATTATGCTTACTATCTCAATATTCTTCAATGAGTGGACATTTAAGCACACAGTGTTCAGGATACTGACCATAGGGCTCGCAACATACTTTGCATTTAGTCTGATCATCATTTGTATGTCTCCTAAACTGTCAGAAGTACTTGTAACCAAGCCTAAGCCTGGCCACTACAACATCAGTCAGTCTGAACATTAAAATGGTATAAAATACCGACAGGTTGTTAGGTAAGACACATATGCAACAGTTAGGTATCTTTATTATGAAACGTTTCGCCTACACAGTAGGCTTCTTCAGTCAAGTACAGAAAAGTTGATAGAAGCAGAAGATACTTGAAGACGATGTAATCAGTCCATCACCCTTAAAGTTTTGAGGTGGTCAGTCCCTCAGTCTGGAGAAGAGCATTGTTCCATAGTATGAAACAATATGGAGAAGAAGTGACAGGATGGATCTTTTATAGCGCCAAGAGGTGAGACGTAGGCCACTAGGAGAGGAAAGAACTCAGATGTTGAGAGGTCAGGTCCCTCTCAAATCCAGCCCCTCTCACTAGTGGAAGTTGTCGAAGTTGATTGAAAGGTCTATACCAAGGGTATCTTGGTACAGACCTGCAATCAACTTCGACAACTTCCACTAGTGAGAGGGGTGGATTTGAGAGGGACCTGACCTCTCAACATCTGAGTTCTTACCTCTCCTAGTGGCCTACGTCTCACCTCTTGGCGCTATAAAAAGCTCCATCCTGTCACTTCTTCTCCATATTGTTTCATACTATGGAACAATGCTCTTCTCCAGACTGAGGGACTGACCACCTCAAAACTTTAAGGGTGATGGACTGATTACATCGTCTTCAAGTATCTTCTGCTTCTATCAACTTTTCTGTACTTGACTGAAGAAGCCTACTGTGTAGGCGAAACGTTTCATAATAAAGATACCTAACTGTTGCATATGTGTCTTACCTAACATCAGTCAGTCTGTTTACATTGCAAGTTGCTCCATAAACATACTTATCTACGTTCATGTTTTCACAGTGGGTTATAGATCTACTAATTCTAACTGCATTTCTATAGCATTTATTTTAATTACTTCTCTCCTAATATTATTCCTTATGTTAGACACAAATATACCAGTTATATTCTCCGTGAGTTCTGAGAGAGGGAGAAGAGGAACTGAGACCAGACAATATCTGTGAGTTCTGAGAGAGGGAGAAGAGGAACTGAGACCAGACAATATCTGTGAGTTCTGAGAGAGGGAGAAGAGGAACTGGACCAGACAATATCTGTGAGATCTGAGAGAGGGAGAAGAGGAACTGAGATCAGATAATATCTGTGAGATCTGAGGGAGAAGAGGAACTGAGATCAGACAATATCTGAGTTTTGAGAGAGGGAGAAGAGGACCTGGACCAGACAATATCTGTGAGATCTGAGAGAGGGAAAAGAGGAACTAAGATCAGACAATATCTGAGATCTGAGAGAGGGAGAAGAGGAACTAAGACCAGACAATATCTGTGAGTTCTGAGAGAGGAAGAAGAGGAACTGAGACCAGACAATATCTGTGAGTTCTGAGAGAGGAAGAAGAGGAACTGAGACCAGACAATATCTGTGAGTTCTGAGAGAGGGAGAAGAGGAACTGAGACCAGACAATATCTGAGTTCTGAGAGAGGGAGAAGAGGAACTGAGACCAGACAATATCTGTGAGTTCTGAGAGAGGGAGAAGAGGAACTGAGACCAGACAATATCTGTGAGTTCTGAAAGAGGGAGAAGAGGAACTGAGACCAGACAATATCTGAGTTCTGAGAGAGGGAGAAGAGGAACTGAGACCAGACAATATCTGTGAGTTCTGAGAGAGGAGGAAGAGGAACTGAGACCAGACAATATCTGTGAGTTCTGAGAGAGGGAGAAGAGGAACTGAGACCAGACAATATCTGTGAGTTCTGAGAGAGGGAGAAGAGGAATGGACCAGACAACATCTGAGCTCAGAGAGAGAAGAGGAGCTGGATGACTCACTAACAAAACTGAAATAGGTCAGCTGGAAGGGACACACAGGTAGTATTAAACTACATGCCAGGGTAATTAATATGCATAGTATGTGAGGTTATGAAGAAGGTTATCAAGAGATGAGTAGTCAAGTAACTAAAACCAGAAGATTCCTAAACAACAGAAGAACGGTCTTAGAAGTCTGCTAGAGTTCTATGACGAGGTGACGAGAGTTAGGCGAGAGAGTTCTATGACGAGGTGACGAGAGTTAGGCGAGAGAGAGAGAGAGAGAGAGAGAGGGCTAGGTCAATCGCACCTTTTTTAGACTGTAAGAAAGTGTTCGATACAATAACGTGCAAGAGACTAGGAGAAAAGGTAGAGTGCGGTGGAGGCAGGCCAAGATCTTGTGTTCGGTGGAGGCTGGCCAAGGTCTTGTGCTCGGTGGAGGCTGGCCAAGGTCTTGTGTTCGGTGAAGGCTGGCCAAGGTCTTGTGTTCGGTGAAGGCTGGCGAAGGTCTTGTGTGCGGTGGAGGCTGGCCAAGGTCTTGTGTGCGGTGGAGGTTGGCCAAGGTCTTATGTGCGGTGAAGGCTGGCCAAGATCTTGTGTGCGGTGAAGGCTGGCCAAGGTTTTGTGTGTGGTGAAGGCTGGCCAAGGTCTTGAATGCGGTGAAGACTGGCCATGGTCTTGAATGCGGTGAAGACTGGCGATGGTCTTGTGCGCGGTGAAGACTGGCCATAGTCTTGTGTGCGGTGAAGACTGTCCAAGGTCTTGTGTGCGGTGAAGGCTGGCCAAGGTTTTGTGTGTGGTGAAGGCTGGCCAAGGTCTTGAATGCGGTGAAGGCTGGCCATGGTCTTGAATGCGGTGAAGACTGGCGATGGTCTTGTGCGCGGTGAAGACTGGCCATGGTCTTGTGTGCGGTGGAGGTTGGCCAAGGTCTTATGTGCGGTGAAGGCTGGCCAAGGTCTTGTGTGCGGTGAAGGCTGGCCAAGGTTTTGTGTGTGGTGAAGGCTGGCCAAGGTCTTGAATGCGGTGAAGACTGGCCATGGTCTTGAATGCGGTGAAGACTGGCGATGGTCTTGTGCGCGGTGAAGACTGGCCATAGTCTTGTGTGCGGTGAAGACTGTCCAAGGTCTTGTGTGCGGTGAAGGCTGGCCAAGGTTTTGTGTGTGGTGAAGGCTGGCCAAGGTCTTGAATGCGGTGAAGACTGGCCATGGTCTTGAATGCAGTGAAGACTGGCGATGGTCTTGTGCGCGGTGAAGACTGGCCATGGTCTTGTGTGCGGTGAAGACTGGCTATGGTCTTGTGTGCGGTGAAGACTGGCCATGGTCTTGTGTGCGGTGAAGACTGGCCAAGGTCTTGTGTGTGATGAAGGTTGGCCAAGGTCTTGTGTGTGGTGAACACTGGCCAAGGTCTTGTGTGCGATGAAGACTGGCCAAGGTCTTGTGTGCGGTGAGGGCTGGCCAAGGACTTGTGTGCGGTGAAGGCTGGCCAAAGTCTTGTGTGCGGTGAAGGCTGGCCAAGGTCTTGTGAGAGATGAAGGCTGGCCAAGGTCTTGTGTGCGTTGAAGGCTGGCCAAGGTCTTGTGTGCGATGAAGGCTGGCCAAGGTCTTGTGAGAGGTGAAGGCTGGCCAAGGTCTTGTGAGAGGTGAAGGCTGGCCAAGGTCTTGTGTGCGTTGAAGGCTGGCCAAGGTGTTATGTGCGATGAAGGCCGGCCAAGGTGTTGTGTGCGATGAAGACTGGCCAAGGTCTTGTGTGCGGTGGGTGCTGGCCAAGGTCTTGTGTGTGGTGAAGGCTGGCCAAGGTCTTGTGTGCGGTGAGGGCTGGCTAACGTCTTGTGTGCGGTGAAGGCTGGCCAAGATTTTGTGTGCGGTGAAGACTGGCCAAGGTCTTGAGTGCGGTGAAGATTGTCCAAGATCTTGAATGCGGTGAAGACTGGCCAAGGTCTTGTGTGCAGTGAAGACTGGCCAAGGTCTTGTGTGCGGTGAAGTCTGGCCAAGGTCTTGTGTGCGGTGGAGGCTGGCCAAGGTCTTAAGTGCAGTGAAGGCTGGCCAAGGTCTTGTGTGCGGTGAAGGCTGGCCAACGTCTTGTGTGCGGTGAAGTCTGGCCAAGGTCTTGTGTGTGGTGAAGGCTGGCCAAGGTCTTGTGCACGGTGAAGGCTTGCAAAGGTCTTGTGTGCGGTGAAGACTGGCCAAGGTCTTGTGTGCGGCGAAGGCTGGTCAAGGTCATGTGTGTATCATGTGGGAGTTCGACACGTGGATTAGGTAAGAAATACTCACGTAGGCTGGTTGTACGTATAATTACAGATAAGGTGGGTTGCGCCCTTACAGCCGTGGCCTGCCTCCTTGCTCACACTCCTAACACTGACTGACTGGCTGGCCGCCCACGTACCCATAGAGGGTCTTTGAATAATGCCAGGTCAGCGCAATATGAGTTCAGATAGTGACTCAGGCAAAGATGGTTGGTCGTTGAGTCAACGGTACACTGGTTACTGGTAACTGGTTACTACTACTGAGAGCTCGGCGACGCTAACGTATGTCGTCCCGACATACAACTAATACAAACTAGAGATGGCAGGTATACGGCTTGGGCTGATTCTATACAATGTCAAAGTACACAACAATTAAACATTATAACCTACTGGAAGGTTAGCTAGATGGACCTTGACTATCCAAGAGTTCAATCCCACCGCTGCCACCATTTATCATGTGGGAGTTCGACACATGGATTAGGTAAGAAATACTCACGTAGGCTGGTTGTACGTATAATTACAGATAAGGTGGGTTGCGCCCTTACAGCCGTGGCCTGCCTCCTTGCTCACACTCCTAACACTGACTGACTGGCTGGCCGCCCACGTACCCATAGAGGGTCTTTGAATAATGCCAGGTCAGCGCAATATGAGTTCAGATAGTGACTCAGGCAAAGACGGTTGGTCGTTGAGTCAACGGTACACTGGTTACTGGTAACTGGTTACTACTACTGAGATGTGCGGTGAAGGCTGGCCAAGGTCTTGTGTGCTGTGGAGGCTGGTCAAGGTCTTGTGTGCGGTGAAGGCTGGCCAAGGTCTTGTGTGCGGTGAAGGCTGGCCAAGGTCTTGTGTGCGATGGATGCTGGCCAAGGTCTTGTGTGCGGTGGATGCTGGCCAAGGTCTTGTGTGCGGTGAAGGCTGGCCAAGGTCTTGTGTGCGGTGAAGGCTGGCCAAGGTCTTGTGTGCGGTGAAGGCTGGCCAAGGTCTCGTGTGCGGTGAAGACTGGCCAAGGTCTTGTGTGCGGTGAAGGCTGGCCAAGGTCTTGTGTGCGGTGAAGGCTGGCCAAGGTCTTGTGTGCGGTGAAGGCTGGCCAAGGTCTTGTGCCTGGTGAAGGCTGGCCAAGGTCTTGTGTGCTGAAGACTGGCCAAGGTCTTGTGTGCGGTGAAGACTGGTCAAGGTTTTGTGTGCGGTGAAGGCTGGCCAAGGTCTTGTGTGCGGTGAAGACTGGCCAAGGTCTTGCGTGCGGTGGATGCTGGCCAAGGTTTTGTGTGCGGTGAAGGCTGGCCAAAGTCTTGTGTGCGGTGGAGGCTGGTCAAGGTCTTGTGTGCGGTGGAGGCTGGCCAATTTCTTGCGTGCGGTGAAGGCTGGCCAAGGTCTTGCGTGCAGTGGAGGCTGGCCAAGGTCTTGTGTGCGGTGGAGGCTGGCCAATTTGTTGCGTGTGGTGAAGGTTGGCCAAGGTCTTGTGTGCGGTGAAGGCTGGCCAAGGTCTTGTGTGCAGTGAAGGCTGGTCAAGGTCTTGTGTGCAGTGAAGACTGGCCAAGGTCTTGCGTGCGGTGAAGGCTGGCCAAGGTCTTGTGTGCTGAAGACTGGCCAAGGTCTTGTGTGCGGTGAAGACTGGCCAAGGTCTTGTGTGCGGTGAAGGCTGGCCAAGGTCTTGTGTGCGGTGAAGACTGGCCAAGGTCTTGCGTGCGGTGGATGCTGGCCAAGGTTTTGTGTGCGGTGGAGGCTGGTCAAGGTCTTGTGTGCGGTTGAGGCTGGCCAATTTCTTGCGTTCGGTGAAGCCTGGCCAATTTCTTGCGTGCGGTGAAGCCTGACCAAGGTCTTGTGTGCGGTGAAGGCTGTTAGTTTAATCTTGCCGAGGTCTTGTGTGCGGTGAAGGCTGTTAGTTTAATCTTGCCGAGGTCTTGTGTGCGGTGAAGGCTGTTAGTTTAATCTTGCCGAGGTCTTGTGTGCGGTGAAGGCTGTTAGTTTAATCTTGCCGAGGTCTTGTGTGCGGTGAAGGCTGTTAGTTTAATCTTGCCGAGGTCTTGTGTGCGGTGAAGGCTGTTAGTTTAATCTTGCCGAGGTCTTGTGTGCGGTGAAGGCTGTTAGTTTAATCTTGCCGAGGTCTTGTGTGCGGTGAAGGCTGTTAGTTTAATCTTGCCGAGGTCTTGTGTGCGGTGAAGGCTGTTAGTTTAATCTTGCCGAGGTCTTGTGTGCGGTGAAGGCTGTTAGTTTAATCTTGCCGAGGTCTTGTGTGCGGTGAAGGCTGTTAGTTTAATCTTGCCGAGGTCTTGTGTGCGGTGAAGGCTGTTAGTTTAATCTTGCCGAGGTCTTGTGTGCGGTGAAGGCTGTTAGTTTAATCTTGCCGAGGTCTTGTGTGCGGTGAAGGCTGTTAGTTTAATCTTGCCGAGGTCTTGTGTGCGGTGAAGGCTGTTAGTTTAATCTTGCCGAGGTCTTGTGTGCGGTGAAGGCTGTTAGTTTAATCTTGCCGAGGTCTTGTGTGCGGTGAAGGCTGTTAGTTTAATCTTGCCGAGGTCTTGTGTGCGGTGAAGGCTGTTAGTTTAATCTTGCCGAGGTCTTGTGTGCGGTGAAGGCTGTTAGTTTAATCTTGCCGAGGTCTTGTGTGCGGTGAAGGCTGTTAGTTTAATCTTGCCGAGGTCTTGTGTGCGGTGAAGGCTGTTAGTTTAATCTTGCCGAGGTCTTGTGTGCGGTGAAGGCTGTTAATTTAATCTTGCCGAGGTCTTGTGTGCGGTGAAGGCTGTCCACGTCAGTTCTCCCTCTCGCGTCCACCGAATCTGAAGGAATGATTCTCAGTAAGTGTTTTGTGTATATTTACATAAATTTACATTTAAGTAGAAATAAAGAAAACAGTTAAAAATGTCTCTCCTGAAACTATTAGGTAATTAGGTATCCCACTAATTAGGTATCTTAGTAGTTCTCTATTTCTCTTCTCAGTCCAATCAGATTCATATGTATTGTATATTGTAACCAGATGGAAAAATTTACACAATTATTGGCGTGTGCACGTTCCTTTTGATTAATATTTCTGTACATAAACCATTACCTCTTGGTTTCCATGTGATAACTTGGAAAAAGCCTCTTCTGGTTGGCTTCAAACTTTCAATACTGGTGCATCCTACTTAAGACTATTATTGGAGTGTCTAGCTGCTAAATTATCAATTTTATTTCTAAAATGGTGTGGTATTTTTTCCCCATAAAATATCTTGGTTGATGCATCTTATAGGACAGATAATACTAGAGATGATAACATGTCTGGCTATAAATTTAACATTATACTAACAGTTACAGATAACACCAGAGATGATAACATGTCTGGCTATATATTTAACATTATACTAACAGTTACAGATAACACCAGAGATGATAACATGTCTGGCTATAAATTTAACATTATACTAACAGTTACAGATAACACCAGAGATGATAACATGTCTGTCTATAAATTTAAATTATACTAACAGTTACAGATAACACCAGAGATGATAACATGTCTGGCTATAAATTTAACATTATACTAACAGTTACAGATAACACCAGAGATGATAACATGTCTGGCTATAAATTTAACATTATACTAACAGTTACAGATAACACCAGAGATGATAACATGTCTGTCTATAAATTTAACATTATACTAACAGTTACAGATAACACCAGAGATGATAACATGTCTGGCTATAAATTTAACATTATACTAACAGTTACAGATAACACCAGAGATGATAACATGTCTGGCTATAAATTTAACATTATACTAACAGTTACAGATAACACCAGAGATGATAACATGTCTGTCTATAAATTTAACATTATACTAACAGTTACAGATAACACCAGAGATGATAACATGTCTGGCTATAAATTTAACATTATACTAACAGTTACAGATAACACCAGAGATGATAACATGTCTGGCTATAAATTTAACATTATACTAACAGTTACAGATAACACCAGAGATGATAACATGTCTGGCTATAAATTTAACATTATACTAACAGTTACAGATAGCACCAGAGATGATAACATGTCTGGCTATAAATTTAACATTATACTAACAGTTACAGATAACACCAGAGATGATAACCTGTCTGGCTATAAATTTAACAATATACTAACAGTTAAAATTCTTGAAATCACTGAATTTTGTGTGATAACTAGATAATGCCTCTTCTAATTACCTTCAATCTTTTAGTACTTGTGAGTTTTGCTCAACAAAAGTGTGTCTTTGTTACTGTGATGCCTAAGACTTACGTTGATAGTTTTGTTGAACATAATGTAAAATTGATTTTTCAGTCACCAGGGAATGCCTCTTCTGATCGGTTTCAAATCTTTAATATTGATGATTTAAATGAGAAAGATGATAGTCTATAAGTTTAGTTATAGGAGATGCAAATTTTCTGATATTCTAATATAGTTAAAGACTTGAAATAGTTGAATTTTGTGCAATAATAGAGAATGCCCATTCGGGTCGTCTTCAAAATTTTAGTGTGCCTTAACCACAGCACCATTTATTTTTAATGGGTTTTGTAGCCTATAATTTTAATATGTTTTGTAGCCTCTATTTTTAATGGGTTTTGTAGCCTATATTTTTAATGGGTTTTGTAGCCTCTATTTTTAATGGGTTTTGTAGCCTATATTTTTAATGGGTTTTTGTAGCCTATATTTTTAATGGGTTTTGTAGCCTCTATTTTTAATGGGTTTTGTAGCCTATATTTTTAATGGGTTTTGTAGCCTCTATTTTTAATGGGTTTTGTAGCCTATATTTTTAATGGGTTTTGTAGCCTATATTTTTAATGGGTTTTGTAGCCTATATTTTTAATGGGTTTTGTAGCCTCTATTTTTAATGGGTTTTGTAGCCTATATTTTTAATGGGTTTTGTAGCCTATATTTTTAATATGTTTTGTAGCCTCTATTTTTAATGGGTTTTGTAGCCTATATTTTTAATGGGTTTTGTAGCCTATATTTTTAATGGGTTTTGTAGCCTATATTTTTAATATGTTTTGTAGCCTCTATTTTTAATGGGTTTTGTAGCCTCTATTTTTAATGGGTTTTGTAGCCTATATTTTTAATGGGTTTTGTAGCCTATATTTTTAATGGGTTTTGTAGCCTATATTTTTAATGGGTTTTGTAGCCTATATTTTTAATATGTTTTGTAGCCTCTATTTTTAATGGGTTTGGTAGCCTATATTTTTAATATGTTTTGTAGCCTCTATTTTTAATGGGTTTGGTAGTCTGTAATACAAATTTATGAGTAACTTATTCTTCTGTGCTATCAAACTGAAAACATTACCTTTTTAAAACCTTTCAAATCTACATCATCTAATTTTTTACACAATAACCTGGAGACGTTGAGGTGGTATTGTTTTATATTTAAATCCTACAACAAATTATATATCTTAAGCTGAATTTAAAATATTTTTTTATTATATTGTGGTCTATTACATGTGTCCTCATATTGTGGTCTACTACATGTGTCCTCATATTGTGGTCTACTACATGTGTCCTCATATTGTGGTCTATTACATGTGTCCTCATATTGTGGTCTACTACATGTACCCTCATATTGTGGTCTACTACATGTGTCCTCATATTGTGGTCTACTACATGTACCCTCATATTGTGGTCTACTACATGTGTCCTCATATTGTGGTCTACTACATGTACCCTCATATTGTGGTCTACTACATGTGTCCTCATATTGTGGTCTATTACATGTGTCCTCATATTGTGGTCTACTACATGTGTCCTCATATTGTGGTCTACTACATGTGTCCTCATATTGTGGTCTATTACATGTGTCCTCATATTGTGGTCTACTACATGTGTCCTCATATTGTGGTCTATTACATGTGTCCTCATATTGTGGTCTTTTACATGTGTCCTCATATTGTGGTCTACTACATGTGTCCTCATATTGTGGTCTATTACATGTGTCCTCATATTGTGGTCTATTACATGTGTCCTCATATTGTGGTCTACTACATGTGTCCTCATATTGTGGTCTATTACATGTACCCTCATATTGTGGTCTATTACATGTGTCCTCATATTGTGGTTCTACAATGTACCCTCATATTGTGGTCTACTACATGTACCCTCATATTGTGGTCTACTACATGTGTCCTCATATTGTGGTCTACTACATGTGTCCTCATATTGTGGTCTACTACATGTGTCCTCATATTGTGGTCTATTACATGTGTCCTCATATTGTTGTCCTACTACATGTGTCCTCATATTGTGGTCTACTTACATGTGTCCTCATATTGTGGTCTACAAACTACAATGTTCCCCCATATTGTGGTCTACTACATGTGTCCTCATATTGGTGTCTACTACATGTGTCCTCATATTGTGGTCTACACATGTACCACTCATATTGTGGTCTACTACATGTGTCTTCATATTGTCGTCTACTACATGTACCCTCATATTGTGGTCTACTAAGTATGGTCTACTAAGTATGGTCTACTAAGTATGGTCTACTAAGTATGGTCTACTAAGTTTGGTCCTACTAAGTATGTCTACTAAGTCTGGGTCTACTAAGTATGGTCTATAATATGGTCTACTAAAGTATTGGTCTGACAAAGTATGGTCTACTAAGTATGGTCTACTAAGTATGGTCTACTAAGTATGGTCTACTAAGTATGGTCTACTACTACTTAAGTTTCATCAAGTTTGGTTAACTGATTTCCAGGACATAAACTGAAGACACGGTTGGTGTGTGGTGTGTGTGTTTGTGTTGTGTGTGTTGTGTGTGTTGTGTGTTTGTTGTGTAGTGTGTGTACTCACGCTATTGTTGTGCAGGGTCGAGACTCAGCACCTGGCCCCGCCTCTTCACGTGATCGCTAACAGGTCCTCTCTCTCTCTCTGCTTCCCTGAGCTTTGACATACCTCTTCTTAAAACATGTATGGTTCCTGCCTCACTACTTTCACTTGCTAGGCTATTCCCACTTCCTGACGACTCTATGCTGAAGAAATACATTCCTAGAACGGCACCCTGTGACTCGTCTGAGTCATCAGCTTCCAGTTGTGACCCCTGTGTTCCCTGTTTCCCCTCTCTGGAACATCCTATCTCTGTCCCTTGTCTATTCCTCCCCCGCAGTATCTTGTATGTCGTTATCATGTCTCCCCCTGACCCTTCTGTCTCCAGTGTCGTCAGTCCGATTTTCCCTTAAACCTTTCCTCGTACTACATTCCCTTGAGCTCTGGGACTAGCCTTGTTGCAAACCTTGTACTTTTCTCTAAACTTCTGACGTGCTTGACCAGGTGTGGGTTCCAGACTGGAGCTGCATACTCTAGTATGGCCTAACATACACCAGTGTAAAGTGTCATAAACGATTCCTTATTAAGGTATCGGTAACGCTATTCTCAGGTTGCATGCGCCCGTATGCTGCATCGGTTTATTTGGTGATGTAGTGCCTCCGGTGATGTGCACGTGTTATGGTCACCCCAAGTCTTTCTCCCTGATTGAGGTTCTGTATCTTTGTCCACCAAGCCTATACTCTGTCTGCGGTCTTCTTGCCCTTCCCCTAATCTCATGACTTGTGCATTTGGATGGTTGAATTTGAGTAGGCCAGTTACAGGACCACATGTCCAGCCTGTTCCAGGTCTCTTTGCATCCTCGCCATCCTCGTCACGATTTAATCCCTTCTCATCAACTTCACGTCATTGCGAACAGGGACACTTCAGAGTCCCATTCTTCCCATCATGTCGTTCACATATATCAAAAATAGCACTGGTCCTAGAACAGGCCACCCTGTGGGAGACC